TTAATTATTTTTATTTATTCATTTATTTTATGTTTTATTTATTTTTGAGAGAGAGAGAGAGAGAGACAGATAGAGTGCGAGCAGGGGAGGGACAGAGAGGGAGACATAGAATCCAAAGCAGGCTCCAGGCTCCGAGTTGTCAGCACAGAACCCAATGCGGGGTTTGAGCCCATGAACCATGAGATCACGACCTGAGTGGAAGTCGGACGCTCAACCGACTGAACCACCCAGATGCCCCTCTTTTTTTTTTTTTCTTTTTTAATTTTAGAGAGAGACAGCATGAGCAGGGGAGAGGGCCAGAGGGAGAGAGAGAGACTCTTAAGCAGGCCCCACACTCAGCACCAAGCCCCATGCGGGACGCGATCCCACAACCCTGGGATCATGACATGAGCCAAAATCAAAAGTCAGACGCTCAACTGACTGAGCCGCCCAGGCGCCCCGGGACCCAGCTTCTTTATAATTCAACATCATGTTTGTGAGATTCTATCAAACTGTCATGTATGGGGTTTTGCTCGTTTTCAACGCTAGGTAACATTCTAGCTCTGGACAGAGAATGAGGACGTGGTTCACTCTAGTGCCGATGGACACGTGGGTGGCTTCTCCTTGGGGGACCCCCCGATGGGGAGACTATGCGCTCTCTGCTACTCTCGTCCAAGCTCCGGCCCCCTGTGCACGCACGTTTCTGCTGGGTACGTGTCCGGGGCGTCCCGCAGGGTACACACACACTCGGGCTGAAAAGAGAACGCGGGGCCGTCTCCCAAAGGGGTCGTGTCACCCACACACTCCCGCCCGTGACGGGAGTTCCCTTCACACCACATGCTCACGAAGCTTAGGATCTTTCCTCCAGCATTCTCCCCTGAGCTATTCTGGTGCGTGGGCTGCGGCACCTCACGGTGGCTTTTAATTTTTAACATTTATTTATGTTTTTTAGAGAGAAAGAACATGAGCAGGGGAGGGGCAGAGAGAGAGGGAGACACAGAAACCTAAATAGGCTCCAGGCTCCGAGGTGTCAGCACAGAGCCCCACGCGGGGCTCAAACTCACAAGCTGTGACATCATGACCTGAGCCCAAGTCAAAGGCTGAGACGGAGCCACCCAGGCGCCCCTCGCGGTGGCTTTCATTTGCATTTTCCTTAACTGTAATCTTTCTTACTAAAATAAAGCTGAGGCCCTGCTCCGTGTCTTGTCACTAGATGTCCCCTTTTGTGAAGTACCCGCTCAGCCTCTTGCCCGTTTTTCGACCGGATGGATCTTTTTCTCATTGACGTGTAATGTGTACGTGTGTGAATTCTGCGGCCTGTCTTTTCGGGCCAACTGCTGTCTTCTGATGAATAGAAGCCTTTAATTTGAATATGGCCAAGTCCCTGGATCTTTCCTTTAAAAAGTCCTTTGGGGGCGCCTGGGTGGCGCAGTCGGTTGAGTGTCCGACTTCAACCAGGTCACGATCTCGCGGTCCGTGAGTTCGAGCCCCGCGTCGGGCTCTGCGCTGATGGCTCAGAGCCTGGAGCCTGTTTCCGATTCTGTGTCTCCCTCTCTCTCTGCCCCTCCCCCGTTCATGCTCTGTCTCTCTCTGTCCCAAAAATAAATAAACGTTGAAAAAAAAAAAATTTTTTTTAAAAATAAAAAGTCCTTTGAAGGGGCGCCTGGGTGGCTCAGTCAGTTAAGCGTCCGACTTCAGCTCAGGTCATAATCTCACAGTTCATGAGCTCGAGCCTCGCGTGGGGCTCTGTGCTATCAGCTTGGAGCCCACTTTGGATCCTGTCCCCCTCTCTCTCTGCCCCTCCTCTGCTCGTTCTCTCTCCCCCCTCTTTGAAAAAGTCTTCCCTTACCTGATCATGGCTCTAGCGTCCTAGACTATCTTCCTGAAGCTTTACTACTTTGCTTTCACATTTCCATTTACGCATCCACCTGGAGCTGACTTTTGTGTATGTGTGGTAGGATGCGGGGATCCGGTTTCTTTCCCTGTGCATATCTGACTGTCCCGGTACCTTTTATCAAAGACACCTGCTTTCCCCTCCTGCTCCACAGTGCCCTTTGTCACAAATCAACTGTCTACGTAGGCTTAGGTCTGTCTTGGGGCTCTCTTTGGATCTGTCTGTCTCTCCATGTGCCAGAACTACACTTAGTTATTCTGCTTTAAAATTAAATTGAAGCTTGATGTGTGGTGGAACGAGTTATATTTTGATCTTGTAAGGAATTTCTTTTTAAAATGCCATTTTCGATTCACTGTTTATGCACGTATTTTAGTTATTTTTATACAGAAAGCCACTGGTTTTTGTGTGCCCATCTCATATCCAGCATCCATGGAAACTTATTAATTCTATAACTTCTCTGTAGGTCATTTTGCACATTCTTTAAAAAAATTTGTTTACGTTTATTTATTTGAGAGAGAAAGAGAGTGGGCAGGGGATGGACACACACACAGAGAGAGAGAGAGAGAGAGAGAGAGAGAGAGAGAGATTGAGAATCCCAAGCAGGCTCTGCACTGTCAGTGTAGACACTGATGCAGGGTTCAAGCTTATGAACCGTGAGATCATGACCTGAGCCTAAACCAAGAGTCAGATGCTCAACCGACTGAGCCACCGGGGCGCCCCCATTTTGCACACTCTACATACACAAGGTTACCTGTGAAGAACAATTTTGTTCTCCCTAATTCTTATGCCTTTTGTTTGTGATGGTGCCAGCAGGAAGGAAATTTCACTTAGGAGAGGTGATATTTGCTCTAAGTGTTTTATAGAGAACCTTCATCAGGTTAAGAAAGTTTCCTTCTGTTCCCAGTTTGCTAAGTGTTTACCACGAATGGATGTCGAATTTTATCTTGGTTTCTTCATTTATAGGGATGATCGTGACTTTCCTTCTTTTTAAAGCAGTGAATCACACTGGTTGATTTCAGATGTTCCACGTACAAGCTTTGTATTTCTGGAATAAACCGTACTTGTTCAGGATCCCCCTTCCATCCTGCTAGATTTGGCTTACGGATATTTCGTTTGGGGCTTTTTGCCACTATGTTCAGGGTCTGGAATGATCTGGAGCTGAGCTGCTTCTCCCTTCCTCCCAGGGTGCAGCACCTCGAGGTCTCCATCCGAGTTGTACGGATTTTTTTATTCTGGTGCCCCGAACCCAGTGCAGCTGTCAAAAGTCTCAGTCAGCCTCTCAGTCACCTCTGGTGGAGTCAGCAAATACTTGCAGGGGTGATGTGAGTGGGATCATGTCTCTAGATTTTGTTTTCTCCTGGCTCTTGGCCTGGTAAATCTCCAATACTTGGCCAGCTCCCTGAGGCCTTCAAAGAGTCGTGTTTGTTTTTGCTTCTTAGTAGTTTATCCACCTCTCCTAGCTTTCCTCAGCAGCAGGAGACTGCTCCATAATCCAGAGCCCCGTTCCAGGAAGCCTATGGAATGGGGCGCCTGGGTGGCTCCGTCGGTTAAGCGTCCGACTTTGGCTCAGGTCGTGATCTCATGGTTCGTGGGTTCGAGCCCCACATCGGGCTCTGTGCTGACGGCTCAGAGCCTGGAGCTGCTTCAAATTCTGTGTCTCTCCCTCTTTCTGGCCCTCCCCCACTTGGGCTCTCTCTCTTTCTCTCTCAAAAATAAATTAACATTAAAAAAAAAAAAAAGCATCTATTGAAGCATCTTACTCAGGGACAAAGACAAGATGCAGTCCAGGCGGCCCTGCTCCGGACCCTCTGTACCCAGTAAGCCTAGGCCCCAGGCCACACGAGGCAGAAAGGCCCAGACTATGAAATCAGATGGACCTGAAAGCCAGTCCACACTCAGCTCCTAGCTATAAAGTTGAAGGCAAATGACATCACTTTCTGTGTCAGTTTCCTAACGTGGGAAAAGAAATGGAATGCAATCTGTCCACCACATAGGATTAGGAAGCTAGGAAAAGCACACATGGGGGGAGTATTCACAGCCCCTTTGGAGCGACCCCAGACTTTGCACACAGTAGGCGGTTATTAAGTGAGAGCGAATTCCAACTACTGGACAAGGCAGATCGTAAACACTGCAAGCAACGAGGGCGCTGGGAAGGAGGCCAGAGATGGCAGCGGGAAGGGGTGTCCCAGGTAGAGGGGACTGTACGAACCAAGCCTCGGAGAGGTGACTCGAGGGATGTGCACAGGAGGTGTGGACGGCTCCGGTCTGGCCGCAGCACAAGACACGACCGCAAGCTGAGAGCCTCGCAGGCCAGACCGCCACAGCCATGGACACCAGGCTGTGCCCTTCCCAGCCCCAGAGCTGTCCAAGGCGCAGGCTGGGGCCTCACCCGATCGGCTCTGAGCTCCCAAAATGTCAACTGCACAGCATGTAGACGAACTGGGGTGGGGAGGTGGGGGGAAGCGGCCAGGTGTCAAGAGAGCCCACGGCAAGGCTGACATAAGGGTCCCAGAGGTGGGCAGTGGAGAGCCGAGAGCGGACAGTGGTGGCAGGACGAGGCCCGGACTGTCCTGGGGGCGCCTCCCCGTCCCGGTCCCCGCAGGGCCCCGGGGACTCACAGCCGTAGGGGTTGGTGCTTTTAAAGGTGACGTCGATGGGGAAGTTCCACACCAGCGCCTGCCGCACGTCTCGGCTCTTGGATGTGATCTGTGAGATGCCCTCCTCCAGACCCTGTGAGCACAGAGACAGTGACAGCCCGAGCTCCAGCTGCCATGCACGCCCCTACCTGGGTGGGCAGGCGGGAGGGCTGTGTCCTTCCCTTCTGCCCACATGCTAACTTCCCAACAACAGGGTCTGCGAGGTCACGGAGCAGCTCCTAGGTCTCTCCGGGTTTTATTTCGTTCGAGCTTGACGGCCTGGAGCCAACTGGGCGCAAGCAAGTTCTCCCCTCGCCAGCCCGAGGAACCGGCTCCGGCCGGCCGTCCCCTCGGATGTCACCGATTTCACCCCGATGCTTCCTGTCGGGGCACAAGTGTGTGCGATTTTCCCCATCACCAGACAATCCTGCCCTCCTTCTTCCTCCACCCGTCAACCCGTTCGATGCTCCCTGCCAAGCAAAACTCCTTGAAAGGTCTGTCCGTTACTCCCTGGCTCCAGTTCCTTCTCTGCTTTTCTTTTGAGAAGCGACTTCAGTCTGGCTACAGGCTCCCACTCTACCAACATGTTTTTGTGGCGTAGCACCAGTGACCCCAGCATCGCTGTATCTATGGACACTTCTCTGTCCTCAGTTCACCTGACCCAGTGGCAGCGCTGGACCCGGCCGATCGCTTCCTGACACACTCCCCCTGAGTGGTTTCTGGGACACAGTACGTACATATGTCTTTGGGTCTTTCCTCCTCACGGGAGGGGTGGTCCCCACTGTTGCTCTCAGCACTTGCTCCTTTCGTGTGGGAGCGTCCCGGGGCTCCGTGTTGGGACGCTCCTCTAACCGGCACTCGTGACCTCAGCCATCTCGGGGCCGCCAACGTGGTCTGGGTGTGGCTGATTCCCAGACCCGGGTCTCCAGCCTGGTCCTTGCTTCTGACCTGCAGATCAGCACGGCCCCACCCCCAATGCCCACCCAGCACCTCCGCCTGGATATCTAGTGGGAACCTCAACACTTGCCGGGCCGAGTTCTGGAAAGTTCTTCCAGATCTGCTCTCTCTAGTCTTCTCAATCGAATGGCAGCTGTGCTAAGTGCCCAGGCTAGAAAGCTTGGTGCTACTTTTAACTACTTTCTGTCATGCCCCACATCTGTCCGAGAGGAAACCCCGTTGTCTCCCGTCTTGTTCGACCACCTGTCATCACCCCCCCGTGCCACGCCTTGTCCATGTGCCGTGTCTGCTCCTCTGTTTCTGGTAACCGTCCATGGCGTCCCTGCTTTGGCCCTTGCTCCCCTGTCTACTGGGAACACAGAAGCTGGAGGGAGCTTTGAAAAACACAAGACGGGTCACTTTCCCTCTGTTCTAGACTCTCTGAGGGGGTCCCAGGTCACCCCGAGTGAGGCTGTGGTCCTCACTCTGACTTACCGTGTCCTCCAAGGCCTGCCCTGTCTTCGACACCCCCTGCTTCATCCCCAGTCACTCCCCTTCCTGCTCATGCTCCTCACTGGCCTCCCTCCTGCTCCTCAAGCACGCCAGGCGCACCCCTGCCTCAGGGCCCGTGCGCTGCTGCTCCTTCGGTCTGGAAAGTTCTTTCCACAGACTTCCGCATGGCTTATTCCCACACTTCCTTCGGGTCTTTACCCAAAGTTGCCTTCTCAGGAAGGCCTTCCCTGGCCATCTGATCTAGATTCCAGCTTCTCTCTATCCTGCACACCTCCCTGCCTGACTCTACTTTCTCCTTGGCACTTTTCACTAGAACATACTAGAACACTAGTACTTAGTGTCTGTCTTGCCCCACAAGAATGGGCACTCAACAAAGTCTGGGACTCTTGTCTGGCTTCGTCCACCACTGTCTCCCCGTCACCCAGAAGGCTGGCAACAGTTATTCAGTTAGGGGGTTAACAGAAAGTAAGTATTGTCACCTCGCCGTGCAGAGGAGGAGACAGGCTCGGCGAGGCTTCGACAAGTGCTGCACACAGTAAAGTGTGGAGAGAGCCGACATGGTCGTCCCAGCCCATCTCCTGGTGGAGACAGACTGTTCCCAGGGAAGTCTTGCAAGGACAGCTTCCGTTCTGCCTCCTGACTCCCCAGAGTCCTCCCCATGAGCTAGGAGAGGCCAAGTGATGAAGGGACTTGCCCAGAGGCTCCACAGGGTGGCTACTTCCAGGCTGGCCCCCTGGGGCCTGCGTGCCCACGCCACCCATACATGCCTCCTCGCTGCCATGTGCAAGTTCCCGGGGTGAGGCTCGCGGGCAAGCGCAGCCTGGATCCGGGAGCCCGCCCGTGGCTGCGTCCTCCACTCCAGCTTTACCAGGAACAAAGTCGTGTTTTAGAACCCCCCCGAACTCAGTGTCTACCTCTCAGTGCGTTCTGAACTGGGAGAGGGAGGGATGTACGATGGACACCTTGAGAAACCCCAACAGTCGTGGGGGCTGTGAGTGAGGGAGGCCCAAGAGCCCAGCTTACCGCCGTGGGGGCCCAGTCCTGGCCATACACAAAGCAGTATTTGCAGTAGAGATCATCATACTCAGGAAACTGTGGAAACAAACACACACAGGTTCTGTTTACAGGGACTCGTGGTGAAGCTACGTTGGCCAGGTAAGGGCAGGTAAGGCCGTGTTGGCCAGGTAAGGGCAGCTGACGGGAGTTCTGAACACGGGGTGCCTGGGGTGGCGTCTAAGAGACAGCCGGACGAGGAGTTCGGCAGAGGGGCCGGGGCCCGAGATGTGGGAGTCCAAGGGAGAGTCCCAGGCTGCTACTGCCCTCGAGCCTTTGCCCAGCCTCTGCCTTCCGTCTGACATGCCCTTCCCATTCCTTCATCTGGCAGACTCCTGTTCGTCCTTCAAAACTTACCTTCCAGAGAGCCTGCCCTAACCTCCAGGCTGTTTCAAGGGCCACCGCCTCGCGCTGCCAGCCCCTGGTCCTTCCTTCCGTCAAAGCTCTGATTGCCCGTGTTTATTTCTGCCAACCCCATCTGACTGCGAGCTGAGAACAAGAGTGATGACGTTTTGGTGTCCCCGATGCTTGGCACGAGGGTAGGCATAGAGAGGAGGTCTAAGGGAATGGTGAAGTGAAAGGTCTAAGAACCCGGATGCTAGCGGGACAGAGAGCAAACACAGGGCTGGAGCTCAAGGCCTGAAGAGGGGGTGGGGCCCACAACTGAGTGGGAGGAGCAGTGGGAGTGGCAAGCGGGCTGACAGTAGAGGTAGTTGTGATGCTGCCCAGCCAAAGGCCCCTACGGGGACAGAAGAGGAGCAGACAGTCTTGGGCACTAGGACCAAGGCCGCCGGGTGGGTGCATGGGGGCATAATCCCAATGAAACAGGAAGGCAAGAGACACCTACTAAGAGATCGTGGCAGGGCTTTGCCCAAACCATCTCACTTAATCCTCACAAGGATATAATCAACGCCATCTTCCAACAGCCTGGAAGGGTAATGCAGCAAAGCTCTGGCACAAGACAGACCGGGTTCAAATCTCAGCCTTGCCACTGCCTTTGGGCAAGTGTTCCCCCGTCTGTAAAATGGTGGTGTTAGTAATACCCACCTCCCAGGACTGTTGTGAGGACTGAATGCGCAGTGCTGGGCGCCAAGTGTGACACATAAGGAATACATGGTGCGTATATCTCTGTGCGTATATAAATATGACAAATGGTTCTCAAGTGTCGGGGGATGGAGGGTAGCGTCTCCTTCTGTCAGACTGGACAGACTCTCCCTGGATCTTTCCACCATCACCATCGTTGTATCGGATCGCCTAAACCACCTCCATTCTAATCCAAGTTTAAGGATTCGAGGGCTCAGAGTGCGGAGCACTTGAGGACCGAGGCCCAGCGTGCCGGTCGGGTCTCGGCTCGTCCCGTTACACCCGCGTTAGGCTCCTGCCCGTGACTCAACAGAGTGGACACGATCCGAACCAGGGGTCACAGGCGCGGCCGAGCGTGCCCTCGGTACCAGCTCAACCTCTCGAGGTCTGTTTCCACACGCGCACGTCGGGCGCGAAGACTCCGCCAAGCCTCTCAAGGGCTGGTTCCCCTCCCCCGTCTAACCCGGGAAGAGAGAGGCTCACAGGAACGACGCGCCTCTCCGGAGCCACACAGCAGCCCGGGAGATCGCGGCATAGGCCCCGGGGGGAGACAAGGGGAAGGCCGGGCAAGGTCCACGGCCGCTCACCTGGGCGCTCTCCACCTGCCCGTTGACCATGAGTAGGAAGACGCTGGGACCCGCGGCCGCCATGGCAGGCTGGGGGCGCCTGGAAACGACCCAGGCTGCGCGCGGGGTTGCTAAGAGGCGCCGGGTTGCCCTGGAAACAGACGGCGTGGCGCATGGGACACATTTCTTGGGAGCGGCACCTTCGCGGAGGCGAGCATGTGTGAGACAGTGCGCAGGCGCAGTCAGCGGCTGCTGGTGCGAGGGGCGGGGCTTTGGGGGGAGGGGCTCGGCAGTCCCACCCCTCTCCAGGGGGAGCCGGGACCGTCCACGCAGGCTGGGCGGGAGCGTGGGCCCGTTATGTAGAATTCAGCCCCGCCGTCCGATCCGGTTACACCCGCAGGGAGTGTGTATCCACTCGGCCTCGGCGCTGCCCGCCCCGAAGCGCAGAGGCCCGCCCTGACTCAGGCGGGCCAGGAGCCAAGTGGTGCAGATGCTCTCCGCCACGAGATGTCGCTGTGGCGCTACCTGGAGGATGGCTGCCAGGGCGTGCGGAGGAGGGATCCTGATGCGCGACCACCGCGTGTCGCGTGTCGCAGGCAACGCTCGAAGGCCGCGAGTCAGACGAGGCTCGGGGCCGCCCGGGTTCTGGAGAGTCTCCAGCTGGGGCCCAGCAGCGCCCAGCGTCAGGTCAAGGGGATGCCCCTTTGGGGCTTTTGAGGTCCTCGGCCCCCAAGAAGTTGTGTAAACAAACTTGGGAGGGACCTCCAGAAAACTTTAGTCCAAGCCAAGGCTCCTCAGTGTGAAGGGGGGAAACTGAGGGCCACGGAGGGGCAGCATCCCAGTCATCTGGCCGTAGGGGGAAGAGTGAGCCAGAACCCATGGCTCTGCCTGATTACTGTTCAAATAACAGTGACTCCCTGGCCGTCCTGCGTAGGTCATGGTTTCTGTTAACACAGCAATCCGATCCTTCTTAGCACCCACTGTGGTTTGTATTTGCACATTTATTACTGTCATGACTCGGGCTATTGCTTGCCTCCCCTCCTCTAGACAGGCCCGCCTGTTGCCTGAGACCAGGGGCCCCACTGATCCTGTGTTCTGGTTGCCTGGCACATAGGAAGCACTGGTAACATTGTTGGACGAAGGAATAATTGTGAATACATCTCAATTACTCAAAGAGGAAGCAGATCCAGAGAGGGGAGTTTGCTGGGAACAGTCACAGAGGCAGGTAAGTAGCCGGATCAGGGTTCAAACCCAGGACTTCACAGGCTAAAGATCCTCACTGCCTCCTCTGTCTGGTCCCAGGCCGGGCCCAAGGACGCTTCTTGGCCAGGGCGGGAAAAGTGGCATTAGAGACCTTATCTCTGATCCAGGAAATGAAGGGATGCACAGGCCTGTAGACTTCTGGGAGGCCAGGCCCCCAGCAGGGACCCCAGGTGATCGCCCCCTGTAGCAGCCAGCTGTTAGCTTGGAAGCAGACCAGGGGGCTCCCATCAGACACCTGTGCAGGAGAGGGAAGGAGGGGTCAAAGCCAGCAGGGACCCACTGACCACTCCCTGAGAGGCGAGCAGAGATACCTGATTAGGGGAGGGGGCGGGGGGAGGCAGCCAGGGTTCCCACCTCTGACAGGAGATGCTGGGGAGGCCAGATGGTTGGGGGCCCCAGTGCAACACACAGAGCTCAGAGCTCGGGTGGACTTGGTCATCCCCCCTCCCCCCATCGCTCACACCCTCTTGCCAGTTAAAATGCTTTCTCCCACAAATTCTACCACTCTTGCCTGACCCTTTCCTCCTTGTGGCTCTTGAGGCTCAGTGTTACACAAAAGTCAGTTTTTATTTTTTTTTTTTAATTTTTTTTTCAACGTTTTTATTT